AGTCAAAACAGATAATGAATTCTAGTGCCTTCTTGAGGAAATAAGCTGATGCCAATAGCAGGAAGGAATTTAAAGAATCTGAGAAGAAACTGTGTTGACAAAGATGTGCATGGGGCTCCTTTTCACATCATACTTCTAGAAGTAAAAATATATGTACATGAAAACCCAAGGTAGGGAAATATCCAAAGTGCACTTGGATTACAATAGTGTAGGCCAGAGAATTAACAGGACACAGTGGGAAAAGTTCTATTCCAAAATTTCTTTCAGGTTAGTGTAGACTTAGGCATACTTTCAGAAAATGTGAACACTGAATGGCACTTCACATATTCATGGAATTTAGGGGGGTGAAGATATTAATCAAGGTCAAAATTTCAGGTATAGGGAACAGAAAGAGCCTGAGAACTTGCCAGAATCAAAGAGATAGCCAAGAGTGGACTGGAGAGCCCCAGCTCACAGAGAGTGACACCAGATAATTTGGCTGTAGCCAAGTTTTCCAGAGTTCAAAAAATGGGTTCAGAGAAATATATCTGCCTCTCCCCTACATCTCCATTTTTGGACTGCGGGAGTGGGAGCCAAGCTCTAAAGTCCATGGTGTGCTAAGGGTCTGAGTCCTTTCAGAGTCAAAGTGAGAGCTAGAGGGTGGTCCTAGGAAGCTCCTTTTCAGATAAAGCTCTACCAAATAATGCAACTGCATGTTTGGTAAGTCTGGCAGCAACCTGGTACTCCCTTCTAAGAATAATCCGCTTAGCCTTTCTGTCTTCAGGGAACCAGGTTTTGAGCTTCCTTGACTGGAGATTGTCTAGGTCAGCTGAAGTTAAGGTGAAGGTTTAGGGTGGACTGCCTAGCTTCTGTTCCACATGAAGTAACCAAAATTAATGCCACTGACTTCCTGTGGAAATTCTGGAATAAGAATGTGACCCACAGTTTACATAAGTCTCCATCTCCTTTTTACATCCCAGGATTCTGTGAATAATTGACAGCTTCCAAATTTCTAGAGTAGAGAGAGCCTGAGTCATTTTACAGTCAAGATGAAAGCTTGGGGGTGCTTTGTAGAAGCCCCATCCCATTTAGACATTCCTCTACCAAAGGGACTGATTTACCAGAAGAAATACTCACTGGATGTTTGTTTGTGCATTCTCACCAGAGAACTTTGGAAAGTTGTACCCATTACCAACCCCTGCTGCAAATATTCCACATTCACATGTAAAGGACTGGAAGATGAAGGATCATTTTCTTAGGTTTCTGGACAAGAGACGGCTGTTCTGCATGTTATTTTCAGAATGTAAGTGAGAGCGAAGGGTGCACTAAAATGGCTCGGTAAGAATAAGAGGTCCCCACATATTTTGTTATCCTTCCCAGGGTCAGCCTAGATTTCAGTGGCGCAAACAGAAAATTGGGATCTTTTTCCTTTCATTGCTAGAGCTTCTGAAGTAGCAGTTTTTAATTCCTGGAGGGAAAGAGGGGAGCCTAGCTTGCAGAGTGAAAATAAGACCTGACAGTGGAATGTGGAAGCTCCACTCTGGACAGAGACAACAGATAATATCGTTATTCCAGGGTGGCATGCACTTCTTTAAACTGGACTGACTTGTTGTAAGGATCCCTTTTCTCACCCTGAGGGGGTGGGGAGATTCTGCTCATAGGAGCCACTTAAGTTTCCCAGAGAGAAGAGGACAATGTGATTTTTCTGAGTCCAGATAGAAGCTTGCCGTGAATCTCAGAAACTATTCTAGATATAGAAGTCTGGATAATCAAGATACATTGTATCATTTTAAGAGTCTTACATAAAGTGTAGCACAAGTTGTAGCAATGTGTGGGTACCCAAACTTCCGCAACTGCATCCGGGGACTTGGATGACTCACAGCCCTTTTTGTGAAGTTCCTGGAGGCTAAAAAATTCCTTGGTGCTGATTTGTGGAACTGAACCCCTCCCCACTACTTCACATCCACATCCTGGTAGTTTAGGGACTCAGAGCCATTTTGCTAGGCTCCTGGAAGGATAAAGTCCTCTCCTCGCCTTCTGCGTCTAGGAACTTAGGCAATTCAGTGTCAGCACACCAAATTTTGGCATCCAGGATTTTGGGGGACTCAGAGCCCTTTGGGGAGGGCTCTTGAAGAGGTAAGTACACTTAGCACGTTTTACATTCTGGCACTTAATGGACTCGGCATTTTGTAAATGCTCTGGAAGGGGCTAGTCTTTGGTGCTTTCAAATTCCGCGACTTCGGAGGCTTATAGCCATTTTGTGAGGTTTCTGGTAGGCGGAGTTCCTGCCAGCGCATTCTGCATCCGGGGATTGGGGAGGCTCAGAGCCATTTTGTGAGGTTTCTAGAAGGCGGAACTCCAGTCAGCGCATTCTGCTTCCGGGTACTTACAAGGCTCAGAGCCATTTTGTGAGGTTCTTGGAAGGGAGAAGGTCTTGCTGTGCCTGTGGAGCCCAGGTGAGAACTGAGGGTGGGCTCAAAATCCTCTTTCAGGATTAGAGGACCCCAAATTATGTAGTCTGACCCCTTTCATTAATAGGCACCAAGTGGGGCCCTTTCGTAGGCACAAGCCACTCGTTTAGCTCGTCTTGGGGACTGAACAGGCGCATTTTCAGGATTATGAGTAAGAAGTCCTTTCTTGTCTAGGATTAAGTCTCACTGGACAGTGGATTTAAAAACAGCAATTCAGATAGAAGGCCTCACAATATTAAAGTTGTACCTTTGTGATGAGCACTGAACTAAATGGGTATCAACTTTTAGGAATAAGCACTTTGCCATGTGCTCACTGGAGATAAATACAGGGGAGAGATACTTAGAGGTCTCTTTAAATAGATGGCAATTTAGCTTTCGCTTTCCTTGGCGTGTGTGCGGTGGGTGGTGGGGGAGGGGGTGGTTATCTAGATCAGTGGTTCTCAACCTGTGGTCTGGCAAACCTTTTGGTAATCAAAGGAGCCTTTCTCGCTGATTACCTAAGATGCACTGAAAGTGCAGATATTTACATTGCAATTCATAACGGTAACAAAATTACAGGTATGAGTAGCAACAAAAGTAATTCTGTGGTTGGGAGGGTCACCACAACATGAGGAACTATATTAAAGGATTATAGCTTCAGGAAGGTTGAGAACCACTGTACTAGGGGGAACTCAAGCTGTAATTCAGCTGGGGTATTCTCCGGGAGCTAGTTGCTTATAAACTAAGGCTGATTTGTGAGCATGAGACCCTCCCCTATCTTCCGTAACTGCCTCCTTGGATTTTGGGGGGATTTAGAGCCAAGTGTCTAGGTTTCTGAAGCTGATAGAATGTAGGAATGAGCTGTTTCAGTATTCAGTAGGTCCCTGCTCTACCCCTCACTATGCACATGAGGTTCCTAGTGGCGAGATGGCCAAATTAACAGTCCAGGCAACAGGAGAATTTGCACTGCAGAGACACTTGCTAGATCGAGGTTTCCCACTTAATGTACCCTGGTCAAATGTTTAAAAGAGAAACTGCCTGTATTGGTAAATCCCCCCGGGCTCCTAAGATGGCCTTTGTCTTCCTTTCTTTTTCCTCCCCAGGAAGGCAAGTCTGTGCAGTGTGTGGTATCAGAGTCACATTGGAACCACCTGAGATTATCAGGGGGAGGTGTCCAGTGTCTGCAAGAAATCCAGGTGAGAAATTGGGTAAGGGCTTAAAGTGTGAAGAAACCCTAGATGTACTAACAACAAGGGACTGCAGTCTGTATGGCTCTGTTCTTATACCTGGCCATCCCTGGATAGGTGGTGAGGTTTGAGGACTTAATTCAGTTGCATGCCTATTGGGGGAGCTTTCTCTGGGAGAAGAGGTACTTGATCCTAGGATTGATGTCAGTTCAGCTGAGGTAATTACATATAGAGAAATGAGCTGGTGACACATCTTATTCACCCCTATGTTGGATCTCCAGCTCATCTCTGCTGATATATGGATTCCCTAAGTCCAGCTGACATTCATGTCACCCATCCTTTAGATTTTTCCTTTCCCTCAGACCTTATTTACCCCAGTCTCTCAGCTCCTGCCTGAGATAGTTTTAAGTAAGCAGCCCACTTATTGTTCCTGAGCCGTGATCCCAGGGCATACATAGTCTGTGCAGTACATTTTCCCTTGACTACAGATACAGTCCTCAAAGGAGGTCCGTACTGAATCTCATGGATGTAAGGATCCATAAGGGAATTCTTGGTTAGCCACGTGGTCATTAGTATCTGGCAAGTTTTAGAAAAGACTCCAGTGTATGGTAGGAGGAAACTTCCAACCCATAGCACAGACATGTGTTCCAAAAGTCTTCCCTGAACCTTTCTCCATAACAGTTCTCTGCAAACACGTCACTCTGAACTCCCTGTCTTATTTTCAGGCATTCGCCTACAGGAGCTGAAGGAGCTGGTAGCAGCTTGACTCACATCAAGTCAAAGGGAAGATCAGGCACATCAGTTCGAAGGTGAGACCTGAGGGAGTCCCATCAGCCCAGCACAAGACACTCAATACCTCCCTGCCCTCCTGTCAGCAGTGAGAAAATGTAGGCACTTTGGGTGGATTCCCTACTTTCATCTCTTCTTCCCTCTGATCATAAAACCTAGATCCTTGCCTTAAGAAGTAAAGACATGGGGATACATGGAACAACCTCCTCTTTTACACATTTATCCAGGTGAGGATCAGGCTGGTCTCATATGCTAGGAAAGTCGGTCCGTGTTGATTTGGACTACTTTTTGCACTTTTCTTGGGACTTGGTGTAAGGAGGTGTGAGGTACCCTCAGTTCCTTGGCTGCATCTCAGAGATGCAGAATTTCTGGGTATTTGCCTCAGCCAAGACTAGTCACCACTTGCCTGGAGAAGCTGTGTCTTTTCCTTTTTCAAGCTTTTAGGAATGCGTGAAGCAACATATTCCTTTGGGTGAGTACCACCCAAGCAAACTCCTGTCACAAGTTTTTGTGACAGCTGCCACAGGGACAGAGTTAAGAGTCCACTCACATTTGTTTCTTTGTTTCTCAGGCGTGTGAGTCTTCAGTCCTGTGACCTGAACAGTGTCCTTTCTGCTGTTACCAAGGAAGCTCAAAATGAATCCTACTGAGAACAGCCAGAGAGTAAACCTTCCAGCCATCCCTCAGGCCCAGAGGGAGGAAAGAGGCCTGGAGGGTGCCCAGATCCCCAGAGCTGAGGGGAGCCAGGTGGTGGCCACTGCCAGCACCTCAGGGCATATGTCTTCTGCCATGGGGGGAGCATCATCTGGTGGGGCCTCTGGCAATCAAGCAGGAGAGGTGGCTGAGCCTGAGTACCCCACACAGGGTATACTAGATGGAAAGATAGTTGATTTGGTGAGATTCCTGCTCATCAAGTTTCGAAGGATGGAGATAACCACCAAGTCAGAGATGATGAATAGGGCCATGAGAGATTATGAGGAATACTATGCTGTGATCTTTAGTAAGGCCTCTGAGTGTATGAGATTGATCTTTGGTATTGATATGATGGAAGTGGACCCGTTTGTCCACTCCTATTTCCTTTACCCTACCCTGGGAATCACCTATGATGGGATGATGCATGGGGTCGTAGGTGTACCCAAGACAGGTCTGGTTATAATTGTACTATGCATCATCTTCATAGAAGACAATTGTGTCAGCGAGGAGGTGTTCTGGAATGTGTTAAATAGCCTAGGGCTGTATGCTGGAATGGATCATTTCATATTTGGGGAGCCCAGGAGTCTCATCACTGAGGATTTTGTGCAGGAAGGATATGTGGAGTACAGGCAGGTTCCCAACAGCCGTCCTCCTCGATATGAGTTCCTGTGGGGCCCAAGGGCCTATGCGGAAACCACCAAGATGAAAGTCTTGGAATTTTATGCCAGCATTGTTAAGCAGGATCCTAGGTCCTACCCTGAGAAGTATGCAGAGGCTTTGAGGGAGCAGGAAGAGCGGGCTAGGGCAGATAATACCAGAAGATACTAGTTCTACTGCACTACCAGTTTCCAATCCTCATTAGGTCTGGCAGAGCAGTGAAGTAAGTTGGGAAAAAGAGTGAACCAGTCCTTTCTTACTATTCTGTTTAAGTGATTGAGGAGATTCATTATTTTAAGATTTTGCTACTTTTATTACAAGGTTCATTTTTTGAGATTTTTAGGGATAAAAATGACATTAGTAATGCATGTATGTTTGATCCAGTTTAGAGAATTTTGTTATCTTGAAAGCAAACAATGTTTTTGAATTTATAATATGTTATAAGATGTAAAAGTGTTACAGTTCGAATTTCCTGGGCAATGGAAAAGAAATTGGCATCAAAATAAAGAACATAATAAAATTAAATTTTGATTGTGTTACTATATTTAGCCCCTCATTCTAGTTAACTAACTAAAATTAAAAGTAAAGTAATCTAAATGGAATCTCTTCCTAAAATCTTCGCGGAGAACCCAATCTTTGCAAAGCTCTGTGATAGCAGTGAGATAAAGAAGCCAGATCCCCTTCACCCATGGATAATTGGTACATAGAAGAAGCCAGATCCAACTGTGCTTGTAGGTGGTTTATGAGCAGGAGCCACCACCCTGTGGGCGAAGACAGAAGTCCTTTTAGACCATAAGCCCCAGTATAGAAGGATGCAAAGTCCAGCGAGCCTTAAACCACCACAGTTTGGGAGGCTGAGAGAATTGATTATAGTTAAACTGCAAAGTATCAGGCCCTCAAGTGGTATGACAGATTTAAGGCTGAGAGAAGGGACAATGCTTAGCAGTCCTTTTGTCAGTTAACTTCAGTAGAGAGGAATCAGCCTGGGATTATCATTCAGTGCTTAAACACTTTGAATGTTACATGCAATCAGGATGATTGTAGCTCTACATCCTCAGCACACAAAACTAAAATATTAAGAGATGAAAACTGCCCCACGATAGGAATATGAGTTAACTCTAAATACATCTCATGCACTGTGTGGTTACTGCTATGCTTTACAAAGGTTCCTAACACACGTGGGAATCATGAGAAAGTGAGGCCTAGAATTTCTAGACAGGGTTTCTTTTGTCAGGGGAGTCAGGGCTGACTGTGTAGATTATTTAAAATATTTCTTATGTATTTCAGGATTTTTTCTGCATGAAAGGAAGGGGGTTGTTATATGTGTACCTTGTGCCTAGGGAGGTTAGAATTAGGTGCCAGATCCTTTCCAACTGGAATTAGAATGTCAGCCTGTGAGTGCTGCAAACAAAATTGAGGAGCACTGAATGAACAGCAACTGCTCTGAATTAGCCAAGCTCTCCAGCCCCACATGAAGTTATGTTGAAAAAAAGGAATTATTTGTGTGTATGTCAGTGTGAGGACAATGCATGCACACCGCTGCACAGGCAGGAGAGGACAACTTCCACAATGTTTCTTGCCTTCCATTGTGGTGAAGCAGGACCTCTCTTGTTTCCATTGCTACACTTTTTACACCAGGCAAGCAATTAAGAGAGATTCTGGCCAATTCTTCCCCTATCTCCCTCCTCGATAAAGGAGTGGTAGGGTTTCAGATGCACTCTTTTGAACCTCACTCTTTATGTGGTCTTGAGAGATATAACTCAAATTGTCAGGCTGAAGTATTTAGCACTTTTACCCTTTGATCCATCTCTTTAAGCCTAAGATAATATTCTACTTCAGTAATCTCCAGTGCAATTGGTGAACTATTGAAGGTAGTGGTTTGCCTGGAAAAGCCTTTAGGGGGTGGATGGAAATGAGAAACTAGTCCTTGACTCGAACTCTAGGAGCATCCCTATACAGGTGTTTAATCTGCACCAAGAGTTTGATGTGTGTACAAAAAGACGGAAGATTTAGTGAGTTTTATTCCTGAAATTTTGTTGTGGCTGGTTAGCTATACTGTGTTCCATTGGGCTACAAGTTCTCTGATATGTCCTGGAGAACAGCAACGACAGCATGACCCCAGGGTGGAACGAGCTAGAATAAAATTATAATAAAAAGAAATCATCTACCTTTCACTATGTTTTCCCTCACTAAGAAACAGCACTGGCGCCTACACATGCAGAACACGTATTCCAGCAGCAGTAACAGACAGATTGTATCACTTCCTAGTTGAAGAGCACCATGGCCTCAGGAATTTTTCCAATTCCTACCTAATAAGTCACAGTGCTGGGAAGGCAGCTGGGTTCTCTAGACACCTGTCTCTTATCTGATCCTCCTGCTGCCTCCTCTGGAGGCCAGAAAGAGTATCCCATTATCCATGTGACTGTCTTCCATGCTGACTAGTACACCTGATGAAATGTCCAGGCAAAGAATGGTCAGATTGAACACAGAATAAAATTGAATTTAAAAGAAGAATATATAAATTTCAGGGCAAATATGGTCTTAGAAGCCTATTGAACGGATAAAGAATGCAACTATGTCACAAACTATAGTAGTTACTTTATGTTTTGCACGGGTAATAGTTATAAAATTTCTATTTAGTGCATCTCAACCACCACTCTCCTACTACCTAAGCAGGAGGTAACACACATAATTTTTTGTCATAATATATGTATCACAGATATGAATTAGTGCTGCAAATATTTCACAATACACAGATCGTATGTATTGTTGCAACAAAAATTAAAAAATACAAATATGTTACAATTCTCTAAAAAAAAGTTCTTCATTAGCTGGCCTCCTCAAGTTCATTCCAATCTTCCTTTTGCACAGATCTTCTGAATATATTAGAATTACCAGTTTAATTCTACTAGGTGTTGAAATGAAACATGGTGTGATTTTGCATGTCCTATGTATTCTCCATAAAAGAACCTTCTTTGATTGTGATTCCGAAATACATTTCCTTCTGTGTAGTTGAACATTGAAGGAGATAGGAACCCTCTGTCATTGACACAAGCAAAAGTGAGATGGAACAAGCTGAAAGGCAGCATTTCTGTCTAGGATTAGAGGGAGGACTGAGTATGTATCACAGACTCCTGCAGACAAGTAGGAGGGACAGATCGGTGATGACAATAGAACCCCTCTGTATTTGCTCCATAAGCAATCCTCTCAGCATTGTCAGGGTACCAATATCATCAAAAGAAGAGTAAACCTGTGTTGTATATAGAGAACAGTTTAGCCCTCCCTGTCAAGAATGGAAGAGGTACTTACCCAAGAAACACCATGCAAACAATTGAAGAGATGCCACCAATTTTGTACCATTTGATAACTGTTTCCATGTTATATAAAACCAAGTAAACCAGACTTTTAAATATGCATATGAAATGCTACCTTTAAATATGTTACTCCTATATTTTGACTTTTTATATATGCGTGTAAATGCTTCCCACGAGAGGGAAAAGGAAGTGTTAAGAAATTTTAGTGAGGGATAAGACAAGTAACAGAGTCCAAATGACATGGAAATGGGGTGAAGACTTCTAGGTGAGGAAAGAGTCATTGGAGAAGAGGATAGCAGAAAGGAATCAAGGAAAAATCAGCAGACACAAAATATGCATGAAAATACCTAATAAAAATTTTATACTTTATGACAAATTTAAAATATACAAGAAAAAAATAGAACAAATTTCAAAGCTCTTCTGACTACCAAGAGAGAGGAAATACTTAACTACAATGCATACATACTTTGGTTCTCACTCAGCATGCTTTTGGCAGCCCTTATGGGCATGATACTTCCAAGCATTGGCATGTCAGTATAAGGCACCTAAACTCATTGTAGTACCTAAATGGCTTTGGAGATACGTGCATGACTAGATCCACACATCTTTCCAGTGCTACAAATTTAGCATGTTTATAGGCTGAATGGATATTCAATAGATAAGAACAGTCACCCTTGAGGGAAAACCATGGAAGTATCAGGGTTAAGTAAGGTAGCAGAAAGCTGGAAGAGACTAACATGGTACCAGGTCCTCCAGGAAGGTATTCTTGCTCTGAACAGTGGGCATGGAAAGGGAGTAAGACAGTGGTTTGTGGTAGGGAAGTAAATGTGTTCTAACAGTAACACAGGGGCCTCCATGTCACCAAAATCAGACTTTGTGTATCATGAGAATTAGAGGTCTATAACACTGACAATTTGGAGTGTTGCCATGAAAATATTACTCAGGTTGTGGATAGGTTAGTTCCAGTGACACAAGCTCAATCCCAACAGGGAGATAAGCAAGAAAGGCAGTTGTATGGCAGAAGAAGAAACATGAATGCCCTTGGATTGGCCAGCAAGTAATATAATACAGAAAAGCTTTCAAAGGGATGTAAGCATTGCCCATTGACTAAAGAAGCTTCCTTTATTCTAGTCAATAGGAGGAATAATATATGGTCATAAAAACGAGTAGGACAAGACCAGATTGCAGAAACACATAGAGGCAGATGACCTGAACAAGGAGGAGCTAATGGGCCCCCAGACTGATAGCTAGGAATGCAGCATGGGACTGACTCAGGCACCCCTGAATATGGGTCTCAGCCAGAAGGACTGAGCAGTCTAAGAGACCTCAGACAGTGGAGCCAGGATGTATACTTGGTGTAAGAGTATGATTTTTCTGCCTGCCGCTTGTTCTTGTCCTGCTGCTGCGCCGCCAGCCCCAAATAATACACAGAGACTCTGTATTTGGTACAATACTGTTGGCCCTGTTACTTGTTTCTTATCGGCTAGCTCTGCCTTAATAATTAACCCATTTCTGCTGATCTATGTATTTCTCTTACCGGGGAGCCGGCGGCATACTGCTTTCTTCAGACTCTCCATCTTGACTCCTCCTTACTACTTCCTATTTCCTCCTTGTCTCCTAGTCCCTCCTATCTTCCTTTCCTATTGGCCAACAGTGCTTTATTATTAACCAGTATGAGAAACGTATATACATAATGGCATCTCCCATCATCTCCTCTTTTCTGTTTAAATAAAAACATAGCAAAATATATCACATAACAGTTATCAAATAAGAATCACAGTTAACATTATTTAGTCCATTAACATTTAGCAAGATTTAAGAAAACATTCCATCATCTATCCCATCTTTGTGTCTAAA